ATTTCACAAAAAATAATTGAATATCAATTCAATAAAAATTTAATTAAATGAATACTTTGTTTAGTAGAGAATATCTTCTACATACTATTGCATTTTAGTACGCTTGCCGCATCTTTTTTTTTTTAATTTTGTTTAAACAATATTGGCTTATCTGAAGTTTATGTTGCATTTCTAGTTTCAATGCATGACAGCGTCGCGTCGCCTGACTGCGGCAATTTGAAGCGACCCTAACGCGGTATTCGTTTCATTAAAAAAATATTATTTTTTTGATACTTATGATCTTACGATAACTCTCGAATCTTTCAGACTATCTTTGGCGCCATTTGTTTTTGACAATAAAGCCGACTTTATCGAAAAAATACTTGACTTTATTATGTGATTGTAACTAAGGTGGTGGCGCCGGTGAGACAAGCACCAATGTTTTTTTTTTAAATTCATTTCTACAAGTCTTTTGAATAAGTCTTAATAAACTGAATAAATGTTTCTTTCTTTCTTTCTTTCTAATAAGATTTAGAACAAAATTTTCTATCATAGTAACACATTTTTTATTGGTGGGTGTGTTTTATGTGATGTGTGATTACTATGTATTCAAAATTGAGATTACCTATTAGTTAATTAGTGGAGGTTCTAATTACTGAAGATTTAGAGGAAATTGTAGTTTAGATTTTACTATTGATATGTGTTTCAAAACAAAAAATTCAAATTTAAAGAAACACTTCCCTTAATATAGTTTAAGATCTCTCTTGAACTACATTAAGGTGTGTACATACCTTAGACTATGGAAACCAAAGGGCATGTTATATTGACATATATAAATCAGACGTTATATGCAAATGATGCATTTAGACGTTGAAAACATAAACATTTTATTGTCTTTGTTTAACTACTGCGTGACGTCGTAAGCCAAAAGAGATAGCACTACACTGATTTATGTCAAACACGGAAATCGAAAATACCTAACGTCATCTTAAATGCCAACTGTTCTCATTTCATCATTTTTGGAGTACCTTTTGATAACCGTTTCCGGTTGTCAAAGGGAAGTACACCAATGTTTGGCCAAATGTTTTATTGAATTATTCGCATAAATTGTATTGAAATGAACAAAAATATTGACAGTGAGAACAATTAAGTATTGATTAAAATGCTTCGCTGCAGCATTAAGTGCGGCAGTAGAAATCGACCGAATGTTACATTACACCGACATTACCTTATGTTGTTCTAGAAAGCTGACATATTATCGATATTCTGTTATTAAAACAATTCACTACAAGGTTTTTATTATTATATTATTATTTTTAAAGTGTACCTACAAATGAAAAAAGAAAGAAAAAACGGTTGGAAATTATAGGACTTATCGAGTTCTTAGGTTTTCGCGATTGTTACACATTTAAGTTCGCGATTTAAATCCGGAAAAATAGTTTCATATCCTATAGGACTGCCGAACATAAACATTGGATCAAATACCATCTTCGTTTCTTCGCTCCATTTTGAAGTCAAATTTTAATAGAACTTTGAATGTAACTAGATTACATTATAATGCAATTCCATCGTTACATTTATTGGTAAATAACTTTATATTTAATTTTGATTAAAATGGCTCTTATGGTAACAATAATAATAATAATAATAGCCTAGTATTAACCATACTTTGATTATAGGAGAACGGTTTTTTTCGACGGTTCGGTAACTTGACCTGTGGCACAGTTGGTAAGAGCAATGCTACGGTGCAGCACGGGCGTGGGTTCAAGTCCCTCCGGAAGAAATTTTTCCGTATTCGATCCGAAAAAAATTGTTTACAATATATGACAGTCTCAAAAATTCGAGAAATTAGTGTACGGTTTACTTGTAAGGTTCATTTTGCACCTCCTAGGTCGGGAACAATGTGTATTTATGGATGTCGAAATGGAAGCACAGATTTCACTTGTAGCTTGTCACTGTGTGTATTACATTACTTTCGGCGTATCGAACACACTTTAATTCAGTTGACTTTATTACGCAGTCGCGATCTATTGTAACTTGCATTCCAAATGTTTAAATTAACCCATACTTTTTAATTTTTTTACTCTCGTGATTATGTGTCCCAACTAACTAGCTAACTAGAACTTTGAACTAACTTGACTAATTACAACCAAGACCAAGGCCATACGTTAAGGAACTGCGTTCTATTCAAGAGGATCAATTTAAAGACTTTACAGTTCGCTGTATACTTCTTCACCTAATTAAGAAACTATTTATGGTCAGGGGGCGAATCTGGGCGACATCCGTAACAACCACGACCCCACGGTGACGTACGAGGGAGACAACAATGTGCTACAACAGCAAGCTGGCAACTGGCTGCTGCGGCAGTACGAGACTGTGCTCAACGGTGGCACGGTCGACTCACCGCTCGGCACTGTCGCCTTTCTCAACGACTATAAGCTGATCAGTGTGGAAACATTTGCCTGCACTGAGACAAGTCAGCTCAAAACGCCACAATGTAAGTTAAGTCACTACTTATTATCGTTACAAAGAAACCTATGGCAGTAGATGTATAGTTGTGCATTACGTGTCAAATCCCTGCAGAACAAATTTAGTTAAAACCATGGATCATGTTTAATTTTCATTATGACCAGTTAATATAGACACTTGTAAATTTATTCAAGTGTTACGTATTGAAAAGTTTGAGAAATCATTGTTAAGGGCACGAATAAGGTGGAAAAACAAAATTATAAATACGCTTTACGCGGTTATTCGACCAAACATGGAACTGACAATTTTTTTTATAATATCGGGACGAACAAGACGTGCGCGTGATGGTAAGCTGCACACCTGTCCATAACAGTTGCAGTGCCACTCAGAGCTATAAATAGCAAAGATCTGAGGGGCACTGCCACTACGCCCGTCACCCGTCAGCCGTCACGTTGAGGCATAAGTTGACAAGTCTCATGTGCATGTGTTCACCAGCACCTTTACTCTTCAAAGCCGGAACGCAGTAATGCTGACATTACTGCTTGGCGGCAAATATAGGTAAGTTGGCAGTACTTGTCTGGACGAACTCTCACAAGGAGCTGTAGTGCTATTATAATAGATATACATAGACTCTCCGCATGTTTCCTCACGTAATCTCCTTCACTTCAAAGGAGACCCGTGCCCAACAGTAGATATGAGTGCCGCGCCGGCGCGCCGCCGCCGCCGACAAATGCAATCGGCGCGCCGTTCAATTCGATCACGCGCACGCTTCCGTATTGTGTGTGTGAAAATGGCGACGCAAGAAAATGGCTTTTCTGAGATAAAACTTTTTTTTTATAAAATATAAGCTCGCATTCCATCTCACCTAATGGAAAGTGACGATGAGGTCGACTATGCAGCATGTACACCTAAATAATGCCTATTCACTTTCGTCTTGAAAAGGCCCAAGTTATAACGTTCTGGGAACAAGTCTGCAGGCAGGGAATTCCACTCCATAGCCGTTCTCCATATAAATGTGGAAGCGTAACGCTTCGTGCGAATCTTTGAAATATCCACAACATAGAGGTGGAACCCAAGCCTACGCCTAGTCCCCCGGTGATGGGTAGGGAAAAGAGGAATTAGTTCGTGTAATTCCATCGCACACTCTCCGTGATATATCCTGTAAAATACCGATAAGCTGGCAACTCTACGGCGGTGTTCAAGGCTCTGCAGCTTCGCCTCCACTAATTCCGAGTCACCTATAAGCTTCTTGGCACGGTTGTCAATTGAATCCAAGGTGACCAGTTGGTATGTAGCAGAGCCACCCTAGAGGTGGCCGTAGTACTCCATGCATCGGACTTGTGCTTGGTAGAGCTGAAGCAACTGTCCCGGTGCGTCCCTATCTACTAACCCGAGAGATAGGGATTTCCGGAGATACTACGGGCTCGACGGCAATACCAGGGTACACCGGGTACCGGGCCAGTGATACGCCTTTGCGGACGTCTCTGGTGGACCCGGACTTGGGTATGGACTCGCTGGGGTTTGTGGTTAGCTGCAGAGATGGACATGTTTGTCTGTCCCGGTTGCATGTGTCCGGGGCATCTGTCTCGTGAGCAGCTAGCGCGTCGTAGTAGCGGTCTAGAGCGAGGAGACGCGCGGGGCTCGTCAGTTGCCCTTTAAGTTGGAAGTTATATCGGAACATTGTCGCAGGACACTGCGACTGGTATCTCCGGCACTAGCCCGGAGAGCTAGTAGAGGATAAGCTATATATCCTCCGGTCCCTCCAGCCGCTTAGGCTATTGGGAACTGGAGAGACGTCGTTTTTCGGCGTCGGGAAGTGAGCGTGCCGTATAACTCCGCCGCCAATGAGGAGATTTGGTAGTGGACTCAGAATCGACGGCTTAGCGGTTGTGTAATGCGCAACGGGAAGAACATTTTCACTGCGCATACACAATACGGAAGCGTGCGCATGCGTACGATCGGAGCGCCTGATCGAACTGATAAACATTTGATTACTATAGAAAATACGGTATTTTATGCTTACGTTATTTTAAAAAGTATTTGTATGACGGTTTTTGTAAAAACAAACACCGTTATACACCGCCGGTTGGTCTATTATCGGTGCTCATATCTACCCAACAGTGATCGTATAATTAATTGATTATGGTTGTCCTTAACGTGAAGTCATTAACTAATTCATACTTCTTACTTTCAGTTATAACATCCACGTACAAATGGCTGTTGTGCTGGTTGCTCAAAGAAACTCGAGAGAAGTACAACGCGGAGATCGGCAAGGGTCTCTCTGCCTTCCAGGCCAAGACTAAATCACAAGTAATATCATCGCGGATGACACAAATTTTTAGACTGTACACTAAAAACTATCCATCGTGTCAGGTCAAAGTTCAAACAGAGAATGGTATTAAAATAAAAAAAAAAGTTGCGATATTTAAACAATAGACCGATCGCCCTTGCCGCGAAGTACCCGTAGTGATTCATTTGTTTTTATCGATAACGGCCACGCGCTTGCGTCACGTGCGTACGTCACTAAGCAGGTGTGAGAGAGAAACCGCAATATCGATGTCCCGCGTCGATGATTTATGACCGAGTCTCCAGCGAGTAAATAATCTTATTGGTCCATGCTACAGTTTCAAAATTGCATAATAGTTTTTGATCAATCAAACATTGTTTGAGCTCAGGGCATTAAATTTACAACTGTAAATACAAGGTGCCTCGAATTGTACGTCCGTGAGTGTATATAAATATATTTAAAAATTACTATAAAGTTTATTATTTCGAACATTTTGGAATAGTTAAATTACACATTAAGGTAGCTGTAAAGTTACCTGGCTGAGTGAAGAAAAACTTTCATAGATTTCTCACAGATGACGGCAAAAAGCGATAAAAAGCTCTAAACAAAGATCTGCAACAAGCAGATAGAAAAATTTGTAAGATCTGCTGATTCGTTCCGTAGCTCAGTTAGGAGAGCGTCAGCCTTCATACCGTGGCTGACTGAATCCAGCCGGATCGGCGGAGTTTTTCATAGTGTTCTATGTTTGTATTAATAATTACTTATTAAGATTCAGTTCAGTAAGGTGTATAATATAATTCTAACTATTTAATTTCCAGGTGTACCGATGGAAAACTCTCACCCGAGTCTATGCCGAATATCTAGCAATAATGTTCAGTCTGGAATCAATAGAGAAGAAAGAAAAATCTTTACAGCCAGTCCTATACAAGTTATTCACCCTCTATGGCTTGTGGTCATTAGACAACTGGCTAGTAGAGTTGTACCAGGGCGGGTTTAGTAAAGGGGAGGCTCTAGCAAGGTTGGTGAGGGAGGCAGTGCTGGAACTGTGCGGGGACTTGAAGGGAGAGGTGGTGAGCGTAGCAGATGCGCTTGCGCCGACCGATTTTGTGTTGAACTCAGTACTTGGAAAGAGTGATGGCAAAGTGAGTATGTTAGAATTTCTGACACATTTTCTCGGGGAATTGAGAACCTCCTCCTTTTTTGAAATCGGTTAAAAAGAGCTGGTAATCTTTAACGATTCTTCTTCTAAATCTTTTTTGAAGTCTGTTAATAAAGAGTAGACGTTCAAGCAATTTGATGATTTCAAGTGTAATTTACTTACCTATGAAATAAAGATATTTTATATCGTAATTACGGTAATGTTATTTTTAATTTCAGCTTTACCAAAATCTTCAGAAAGCTTTCTTCAGTCAACCCGGAGTATTTGAACGAGCTCCATGGTGGCGTGATGTCACTGGGCCAAAGTCTAAGCTGTGAGACCCATCCATTAGCATAGTTTACTTTGTTGGTGTTATTGACTTTTCTTCCTTTTGACATTGCTATACTGGCCGATAGGATGGCGATATTTTAGAAAAACGCGTTTCAGTTCGACTGTTGCCTATTTCTACCACAACCAAGTTAAACGTGTAAGACAGTGTTTGTCTGAAGATTTAATTGCCAATTCATAATCAAAACTTTCATTTTATTGACATTGTCCGCACCCCTCATGGAAGAACGGTGTAAGTGGAATTACGTCAAACATGTTCATTGCTCCATTAGATATTGAAAAACGTATCCCATATCCTCTCCAATTGGAGGCGGATGTAGGTTATATTTTTCTGTATCTAATAGAGCAATAAACATATTTGACGTAATTCCACTTTTGCCATTCTTCCATGAGGGGTGCGTTTATTATGTTAGTTACAAAAATCTTTTAGTCTGTGTTAATAAGGATGTTGTCATATATTACATTTAATTATATATTAACCCTCTGAAACTCGTATGAACCAAGTTCCAGTGCTTCCACATTTCACAAGCAGGACAGTTCCAAATTTAGCACACGAGGCTTTTGGAACACGTTTCAACATATTATTAGGCACGAATATTTAATTTATTGGGTGTCATCATTGACCTACCAACAAATTGACATCGGGTCTAATACAAAAACCACGAAAAAAATGTCCGAGGTTGACCTATACAAACGTAGTGACATGTAACGAAATATAAAAAACTAAAACATTTAATTTAAATTGTAACGTCATTTCAGTACTGCCTAAATTTGCTTACAACAATTTAAGTGCCCAAAAACACCATATTCAGCTTTTACTGGAAACTTAACAAAAAGCGCCATATTCGACTGAAAATTACTTGAACACAAGAGTAATGGAATAGCCTTTCTCGTAAATATTAATTAATTTTTTTATATTATTATGTCGAATTTTGTATAAATTCCATTGACTTACAAATAAATGGACGACGGGTCTAATACAAAAACCGCGAAAAAATGTCCCAAGTCAACCTATTCGAAATTTAAATTGTTATGTCATCGCAGTATCGCGCTGCCCGTAGAACAAATAAAGACTAAAGCGGAGTGTCGCGCTCTGTATACGATTTTAGCGCCTTACAAGTGCGGACACTTTTTAGCGCGGACCCGACGTCCATATAATTGTAAGTCAATGATAAATTCACTTAAAGGTATAATAAGGAGTTGGGCAGATACATACATACAATTATTACTACAAATGTGAAAATAAGTGTGTACTATAAGAAATGTACCGATATTCTAACTAAACGTAAAGTCAAATATTCGTAATTCCGATTTATAACAAAACCGTTACGCTTTCGAGTAATTTTGATGACTTTTTACATAGACAAAATTAGCTTTTGTTTTGTAATCTTCGTAAAAACACATTATGAAGATTCGAGCTAATGTTATTTCGAGCAAATGTATTTTCTGACTTCTGATAGGTAACCCCATGTCGTAAAATGAGTACAACAGTATTTTGTTAGTTATTGCTAACGTTTAATAAAAAAATCATTTTTTAAAAATAGGATTAAAATCAAAGCAACTCTACAGTTTCTTTGTTCTAAATATTTTTCTATCGCTTGTGGTTCGAACAATTGAAAATGACCAAGAAGTTTATATAAGCTTCTTGAAAGTGACGCAATGGGTCTCTTTCCATCTTTTGCGCATGCAATGAGTAGAAAAAGGACAGTTAGCTATTTCATTATTTCGTCTGCTCTTGTAATTTATATTTACGATTTAGTTATATATAAATTAAATACTATAAAACTTTACAAAATAACACTTTTAAATGACAACTATGATAACACAATATATTTGTTTAGTGAAAATATGATACAAAATCCTGTTTTCACACTTTACTGCAGTAATTTTTACAAGTTATTATTTGTACTGCATATATCGGTACTGCATGATTGACAACTGCGCTGTCACTCGAACAAACGAAGACTATTGCGCGATTGACGCTCTGTATACGATTTTAACGCCCGACATGTGCGGACACTTTTTAGCGCGAACCCGACGTCCATTTATTGGTAGGTCAATGGGTGTCATGTATTGTTTTTAAAATACTCCACTGGTTTGTTATTATTGAAGAAAATAAAAATTCCTTCGATCTGGCTGGACTCGAACCAATTACTTCGCCATACCCGCGGTTTGGCCAGGTTGCGGGTTCGATATGGTGGATGTAGATTTAAGGAATTTTTCTTTGTTTATTAGATCTTTATACATCACTAATGATATGTAAAAATGTGAAGGAAAAGGGCAACACTGGCGCTGCAACTCGTTACAACCAATATTTGAATCGTATATCACTAACTTCTATGGGCCAGTATTTAAACTGAATACCTTGTTTTGTATTAACTTTTGTCATTTGATTATCTAGGTTTTAAAGAACGGTTTCGACATTAAGGGCACCTTCAAACTAGGCGCTTGTGGTGCGACAGTCGCGCTTCTAAATACTGTATGAAAATTAGTACTGGCGCCACTGCAGTCTGTTATATGAGCGTCTAATTTGAAAGTGCCCTAACGATCTGTAGTACCTCTACCATGAGTTTACAGCGATTGCTGCGCTTTACAATTCGCCATACAAACTTGTCAAATATTAAACACGGTCACTTGCGACAACCGTCACTATAAACTTGTGGTAGGGGTACAGCTCTTGCTTAGAAACCCGTTGAAAACAGAAGACGATGCGGAAATTCCGCAAGCGTAATTTTGCCGGGTCACAGGTTTCTTGCATACCAGTACAGTCGCCTGCAATGATGATGTGAAGAAATTTAAACTTAAATCACTGAAACGTTAGTTAAATTGTTGTTAGAGCTTACCTTTTAAACCGATACCTCCTACGTAAGTTGTTGTAAGTCAAAATACATTTTTTTGCTTTACTATGTACATTACAGGTTTCAAGTTTAAAAGTAAGGAAATCACTTAAATTTCTCACACTACGTTGTAACTTAATGTTATGTTATGATTTTGAATATAATGATCGGACACACAGAAAAATTTTTTCGTCGACCCGTTGGAGTTGAACCCACGTCCATGCTGCACCGTAGCATTGTTCTTACCAACTGAGCCACGGGTCCGGTTACCGAGTCGTCGAAATTCTCCTATGTGTTTTTGTTATAGGCCTTTGTACTGTCTTTTCGGCATTCGTCGCCGTTACTGGTATCTAGTGAGAGATTTTTTTTAAAAAATTCACCGCAGCATACCTTTACTGGTATCACAACTGACACAGATTTCATAAAAAAATTCATTAAACACACTCAATATTAAGTTTACTTTCAAACATGGAACCTGTAATATACATAAAAGAAGCAAATATTTAAGTTAAAAAGCAAAAACATGTATTTTGACTTACAACAACTTGCGTGAGTGCTATCGAAATACTTGTCAGAAAAGACAAGGACAACCGTGCCTTACAACAGTAATGGATTTATAATTTTGACATTGAATCAATGACATCATAACATTGAACATGACTTTTTGTCATCATGTCATCATCAGTCTATATTAATCCACTGCTGAACATAGGCCTCTTCCAATGTGCGCCATTTCACTGCCTCAGCTTGACGCACCCATCTGCTATCAGCAGCCTTTCGCAGATTGTCACTTCATCCAACCAAAGGGAACCGTCTAATTTTTTTCCCGTGCGAAATTCTGCTTTCGGCAAGTGATTGGAATACACTACCGACATCTGGGTGTCTTTTTTATTATTATTATTATATTGATACGAAGATAGAACAAACGCAAAGAAAAATTCCTTTTACCCCGAGTGGACTCGAACCTGCGACTGTTGCCTCAACGTGGCTGCCGCTCGGTCTACTGTGGTCAAGCGTGTGTCTATTTTACAGTTTAAGATGATTAAGTGTTTTCGTGATAGGTAGGGACGATTTACGCAAAATATTTTAATGAGAATAGAGTTTTGATTTTGTACACATTTTATTGTAGGCGACTATACTTCACTGTAATTTCACATTGTTGTAAGTTGTTATCGACTGGGAAAAATATTCTTATGGCAAATTCTAACTCTAATGTCAGCAGAAAACGCTGTCCAATTTGCCATACCAATATTTTACACGGTCTAGAGATTCCTCTGGTCACGATCTTATGTAATTACGGGCGTGTAACTTCAGCTGCAATCATTCCGCTGGATTGGTCGCTAAAATATTTATATAACTAGAGATGAAGTAAAGCTGGGATAGCTGAAACTACTGATTTCCTAATGTTCAAACGTGCATTTAGTGCGCATTTTTTTTATGTACAAAAATGTACTATCGTAGTTTATTTGAGGTTACCTTAACGATAGTGTTAGAGATGAAAACCAATTTGTCAGTCCTGCAGTTAAATGCTTGTTAGGGATTTACTAATAGAGACATGACAATTAAGAAGATGGTTTAATTTTCACAGAGTGTGTGTTATTTTTTTTCTAATGAAAGAAACAAGCATTCGATGTGATCCAAATGCTCGGCATACTTAAAACCTGGTAAGTCGAAAAAAAATCCGTAAAGCCCAAATATCAATGCTACCGACTTCAGTGTTTTCGACTTTGACAGTATTGCCATCTAGGCTAGCTAGGCAGTGGATAAAAACCCAAACCACCCGCCCGGGTTTTTAATCAAAGTGCTGACTGGGTTTTAACCCATTCTGCCCCAAATCGTGGACAGAAATACGGAATTTGGTGTAATGCTCATAACCATATTAAATAGTGATTAACAATGCAATCATGAAATTTCGTAAAACACGAATAGCTCCGAGTTTTGTGCTTTATAGTTCTTTATAGTTCCAATCCATTTTGAAGAAAAAGTAAAGAAAACTGTTTGGTTAAAATTGTAAAGCAAACACTCAATAAATCGAATAAGTAACCCTTTCAAATGTATTTCGAAGATTTGGACTTGAAATCTCGTCACCTCTTCCAACATTATTAATTTGAATAGCATCGTAAAATCGTATTTGAAAAATGGTAGTCCAAAAGTGAGGTTATTTTTCGAACGTACGAAAAAGACCGTTCGGTTCATTCAATTAAAGTTTTTGTAATCGATTAGTAAATCGAAAATTTCAATTGCTATCGAACGAGTATCTAAGTGAGTAAGGATTTGAATGAAGATTTAAAATTAAATTTTTTGAAACTTTAAATATGTGACTTACAATTATATGGACGTTATATGGGCGCTAAAAAGTGTGCTAAAAAG